GACGTGGAACCAGGGATGTCATTGCTGATGTCAGATGGATCTTGGCCGAAAGTAGAGAATACCAGAAAGATGTTTACCTGTGTTTTATTGACTACGCAAAAGCATTCAACTGTGTGGATCATAACAAATTATGGGTAACACTGTGAAGAATGAGAATTCCAGAACACTTAATTGTGCTCATGAGGAACCTGTGAATAGATCAAGAGGCAATCATTTGAACAGAACAAGGGATACTGAATCACTTAACATTAGGAAAGGTGTGCATCAGACTTGTATCCTTTCACAATACTTATTCAATCTGTATGCTAAGCAAATAATCTGAGAAGCTGGTCTATATGAAGAATAATGTGCCATTAAGATTGGAGGAAGACTCATTGACAACTGCAATATTTAGGTGTCACAACCTTTCTTGCTGAAAGTGAAGAGGACTTGAAGCACTTTCTGATGAAGATCAAAGACTACAGCTTTCAGTATGGATTGCACCTCAACATAAAGAAAACAAAAATCCTCACAACTGGACCAATAAGCAACGAGTGACACATGGAGAAAATATTGGTATTTTCAAGGATTTCATTTTACTAGGATTTGCAATCAATGCTCATGAATACTATATTTCCAGTAGTCAGGAAACCAAATGACATATTGCATTGGGCAAATCTGCTGCAAAAAACCTCCTTAAAGTGTGAAGAAGTAAACATATCACTTTGGGGACTAATGTTCACCTGACCCAAGCCATGGTATTTTCCGTTGCTTCATATGCATGTGAAAGCTGGACAATGAATAAGGAAGACTGAAGAAGAATCGATGCCTTTGAATTACGATGTTGGTGAAGAATACTGAGTATACCATGGACTGCCAGAAGAACAAACAAATCTGTCTTGGAAGAAGTACAGCCAGAATGCTTCTTAGAAGCAAGAATGGAGAGACTTCGTCTCACATACTTTGGACATGTTACCAGAAGGGACCAGTTTCTGGAGAAGGACATCATGCTTGGTGAAGTAGAGGATCATTGAAAAAGAAGACCCTCCACAAGACGGATTGACACAGTGGCTGCAACAATGGGCTTATGCACAACAAGGATTATGATGGGTCAGATCCCGGCAGTGATTCCTTCTGTTGTACATTGGGTCGCTATGAGTCAGACCGGCTTGATGGCACTTAACAACAACAACAACAAACTGGTACCTGGTATGCAGCTATTGTTCTGGCTAATTTCTTTTTCTCCATACCTATTTCAAAGAAACACCAGAAGCAGTTTACGTTTAACTGGTGTGGCCTGCAATACACCTTCCCTGTCCTATGTCAAGAGTACTTCAGCTCTCCAGCCCTATGTCACAATTTAGTCTGCAGGGAGCTTAATGGCCTTTTCCTTCCACAAGATGTCATATTAATCCATTATATTAATGACATTATGCTGATTGGACCTAAGAAGAAAGAAGTATCAATGATTCTAGACTTATTGGTAAGACATTTGTGTGTTAGAGGGTGGGAAATAAACCTGTCAAAAATTCAGGCACCTTCCATTTCAGTAAAATTTCTAGGGATCCAGTGGTGTGGGGCATGTCGAATTAGTCTTTCTAAAGTGAAGGATAAGTTATTCTGTCTGACTCATCCTTCATCTAAAAGGAGGCATAATGCCTACTGTGCCTCTTTGGATTTTGGAGCCGACATATTCCCCATTCGGGTGCGCTGATCTGGCCTATTTATCAAGTGACTTGAAAAGCTGCTAGTTTTGAGTGGGATCCAGCCCAAGAGAAGGCTCTGCAACAGATGCAGACTGCCGTGCATGCCGCTCTGCCACTTGGGCCATACTGATCTGTCAGTGCTTGAAGTGTCAGTGGCAAATAGAGATGCTATTTGGAGTCTTTGGCAGGACCATCAGGATTTTAGAGCAAAGCCATGCCATCCTGTGCAGATAACCACTATCCTTTTGGGAAACATCTTTTGGCTTGTTATCAGGCCTTAGTAGACACTGAACACTTAACCATGCGCCACCAAGTCACCATGAGGCCTAAGTTGCCCCTCATGAACTGTGTGTTGTCTGACTCACAGAGCTATAAATTTGGATATACACAGCAACACTCCATCATTGAATGGAAGAGGTATATACAAGATTGGGCTAGAGCGGGACCTGAAGGCACAAGTAAGTTGTATGACGAGGTGGCCCAAATTCCATGGTCTCCAATCCTATCATATTATCTTCCCCCTCCCAGTCTGCACTTACGGCCTAATGGGGAGTTCCTTATGATCAGCTGACTGAAGAAGAGAAAACTCTTGCCTGGTTTACAGATGGTTCTGCATCATATGCAGACATTGCTTGAAACTGGACAGTGGCAGCACTGCAGCCCCTTTCTGGGACCTCCCTGAAGGACAGTGGTGAAGGGAAATCTTCTCAATGGGCAGAACTTCGAGCAGTGCACCTGGTTGTTCACTTTGCTTGGAAGGAGAAATGACCAGATGTGCGATTATATACTGATTCACGGGCTGTGGCCAATGCTTTGGCTGGATATTCAGGGATTTGGAAAGAACATGATTGGAAAATTGGTGAAAAGGAGGTATAGGGAAGAGGTGGGTGGATAGACCTCTCTGAATTGGCCAAAGAAGTGAAGATATTTGTGTCTCATGTGAATGCTTACCCAAGGGTGACCTCGGCAGAGGAGGACTTTGACAATCAAGTGGATAGGATGGTGAGTTCTGTGGAAACCAGTTATCATCTTTCCTTTGCCCTCCTGTCATTGCTCAATGGGCTCATGAACAAAGTGGCCATGGTAGCAGGGATGGAGTTTATGCATGAGCTCAGCAACATGGACTTCCACTCACCAAGGCTGACTTGGCTACAGCCATTGTTGATTGTGCAATCTGCCAGCAACAGAGACCAACACTGATCCCCAATATGGCACCATTATTCAAGGTGATCAGCCAGCAGCATGGTGGCAGGTTGATTACATTGGAGAATTTCCATCATGGAAAGGGCAGTGTTTTATTCTTACTAGAATAGACACTTACTCTGGATATGGATTTGCCTTCCCTTCATGCAATGCTTCTACCAAAACTACCATCCGTGGACTTACAGAATGCCTTATCCACCATCATGGTATCCCACACAGCATTGTCTCAGATCAAGGGACTCACCTCACAGCAAATGAAATGTGGCGATGGGCACATGCTCATGGAATTCACTGATCTTATGTTCCATATTATCCTGAAGCAGCTGGCCTGATAGAATGATGAATGGCCTTCTAAAGACACAATTGCAGCACCAGCTAGGTGACAATGCATTACAGGGTTGGGACAATGTTTCCCAGGAGGCTGTTTATTCTCTAAACCAGTGTCAAATATATGGTGCTGTTTCTGCTATAGTCACAATCCATGGTTCCAAGAATCAAGGGATCCTGGGGCCATATTAGGCTGGAAAGGGCATTGTAGGGGGATGAGGGAGGTATGGTGTCTCCCAACATCCTACCAGTATCAGGAAGATGGTCTTTGCCCCACCCTCTTGTTGAGCAGCTCTGCTTGCAACCCCTTCTTCAAACTTTACCTCATTTGAGACCACCCCATAGGGCAATTTTGGAAAACATCATCGGATGCACACAGTAGGCACACTATGTGGAGTACCTGGCACACAGTAGGCACGATTTATGTGGAGTACCTGACACGAAGTGGGCATGCTTTATGCAGAATACCTGATGCACAAGCAGCTCCAGTACCAGGTGCCAGCCCCTTCCCTTCTCTACCTCTCTTCAGGGCTCCTAACCCTTCCCACCATCCTATGGAGCTCTCCTCTGCCTTTTGTAAGGACCCTATCTGATGCCCCATTTCCCAGAAGGGAAGACTGAGGCTCAGAGAAGGGCCAGCACAGTTCATAGTCACAGTAAGGACCAAGCGGATCCCTCTATCTTCCTCTTCATCGTCCTCTCCATCCTCCTCGAGCCCAGCCTCCAGGTGTCCTATCCTCACCTGTGCCCTTTATCCCAGAATCTGATTCTGGTAATCCTGGTGAGGCTGAAGTCTTTGTTCCTGCTACGTCTCAGGCTGGCTGGAGTCAGGATTGGACTCTGGTAGGGTAGGGTGGCCAGGGCCAGGAGCTTCCTGTCCCCTAGCCTCTGATTCCTGCTCCCAGAAGTGGGGACACGACCCTTTTGTGGCCCACAATGTGTACAGGAGCCCAGCAGATGTTCTGGGGAAAGAACTTGGCCCTGTGCCCTTGGCCCCTGAACTTTTAAGTTCAGGTTTTTACCTGCTGCACACTGGTGGCGGGAGGGCGGGGGTGCTTGTTAACTTCCAGGCTTAGCATAACCTTTGCTACCTGCTCCCCAACTTCTCTCTCTCCCCTCCTGGAAGGTACTTGGTCTACAGTATCCGGTGTCCTCTTTGTGTGACCTGAGCCAGCTCTTCAGCCTCTCTGGACACCACTGAAACTCTGGGCCCCACCCACCCCCTTTTTTGGGCAGTGCCTAGCAGGAAGAAGGGAGCCAGCCCAGCAGGGATTGGCTGGCCTGGGCCAGTCCCTCCCAGCTGTCCCCAAGGGTAAAGAGGTCCCAGGCAGAGGGGAGAGGAGGTTGTGCAGGAGAAGCCGTGGAGGACAGAAGGTGCTAGGCTGGGGGTGGCAGGGCTGGGAGGGACCTGATCTTGGGGGGAGGTGTGCTACCCATGGCTGGGGCTCCAAGGAAGAACCTGGTTAGGGGACTGTGACTAATGAGTAACTGGATCCTCTGACAACCTCCCTGGCACTTCTAGGGCAGGAATTTCTGAATTCCAGCCACCTCTTTCTCCATTTCTCTCTCTCTGTCTCCCCATGTCTTCCCCTGACCTTCCATGGGCTTTCCTCCCCTCTCTGGCCCCATGTTTGCCCATGTTTGCCCCCTCCCCTGTCCCTGGAGCCCACATATTTGGCCCGTTCCTGTACTTTATGCCCGTCCCGCCTCTGCTTTTGAGCTCACTATTAAACAAAAAAAATCTCATTGCCATCAAGTCGATTCTGACTCATAGCGACCCTATAGGACAGAATAGAACTGCCCCATGGGGTTTCCAAGGAGGGGCTTGTGGATTTGAACTGCCAACCTTTTGGTTAGCAGTCAAGCTCTTAATCATTGCGCCACCAGGCTCCTGAGCTCACCATTAGCACTCTTCGTCTAGCCCTGCAGGATGTCGCTGCTCAAACTGTCATGGCTGGGATTCTGGCCTGGGACTGCCTCTCCATGGCTGCTCCTGCTGCTGGCTGTGGCCTCCTGGCTCCTGGTCTGCATCCTGGTCTCGACCTACACCTTCTATGACAACTGCCGCCGTCTCCGATGTTTCCCGCAGCCCCCACTGCGGAGCTGGTTCTTGGGGCACCTGGGCCTGGTAAGTGGGGCAGTAGGACAGATCCGGGGTCTCAGGACCAGGGCAATCATGGTCAGGGAGCTAAGGACCAGCAGCAAATGGGTCTAGGACAGCATAGAAGTGAGGGAGGCCAAGGGGGAACCCCTCTTTCCTCCCTCACCCCCCAGGTCCACTCCTTTCCTCTCTGCCACCTATGTCTGAGCCCTTTCTCTCACTCTTTTTCTCTCCCATCCCAGCCTGCTTTGGGTCATTTTCCTGCCTGTGTTTCTCCCATTACTGCACCTCTGGCTCCCCTCGGGGGCTCCCAGGGCAGGATGTCCAGAGCCAGACCCCCTGACTTTCCCACAGAATCACCCGAAATGGGGAGCCTCATCAGAGACACAGTCCAAGGTCTCCCCACCCGCTGCCTGTCCCACTTCTACTGGCCTCAAGCCTGTGTCCACCCCTCTGAGGGCTGTAGTTCCCCACCCTCTCTGCGCACCCACAGGGGCAGAGCTGGGCCAGAGGAGAGGTGCAGACAGTCTCCCCAGCCCACCCCCTTCCTGGGGCCCCTTCCTCTTCTTATCTTCCCCTCCACCCCCAAGATGTACCAATGGGTCCCATTGCCCAACCTGGATAAATGCTGGCCACTTCCCCTTTGAGAGGCCTTCCTTGACCTCTGCTGTGGCCCTGCTCACACTTGTAATTAAATGTTTAATTGTCCAGTCATTTGATTATCATTCATCTCTCCCACAAAATTGTAGCTCTAGGAGGCAGAACTCTACCAACAGTGCCCAGCCCTGGAGCTGGCATACAGTAGGCGCTTAATAAATGTTTGAGAACCCAGTGGTTGAGGACACATCCTCAGTCTGGGTGACCATCACCTCCTTTAGACATTTGAGACCAAAGGGACAGGCCTTAGCCTCTTCCTTCCACCAGACCACTCTGGGGACAAGCATGTCTATCCAGCTTCCCCCTCTGCAGAGAGGACAACAGCAGTTTGGGGAAGAGCTTCCTGTGATTCTACTGCTTATCAAAACAAACTTCATTCAGAATGGGATGCTCCCAAGGTCACCGTGAAGGTTTCCTGAGATTCCGGGATCTGGGGTGTCCTCAGAGGGCCCTGGAGTCCACGGAAATGTCATAGGTCACCTGCAGTCCTGCCTCCCTTTCCAATGGCTGGGACTGGCAGGCTGGTCTGGTCCAGATCACTCTTCCCCTCCTGTAGCCCCTCTTGTGTGTGATGTTGGCCTAGTCACTCTCCCTCTCTGGATCAGTTTCATGAAGTACATTGAATCCTCAGCTCAGGTTCCTTGGGGAGCAGGGAGCAGATCAACAGGTGAAAGTGGTTTATGTTCACTTGGTTGGAGCAGCCTGAGGGTCGGGCACAACTAGAGTGTCCTGAGAACCCGAGGGGGTGTCTTGGGGGTCATGTGAACAGGGTGTCCCATAGACTCTTGAGAAGATGACTAAGAGGTCAGGCTTGAATGGACAGGGTGTCCCAGGATGTCCTGGACGTCGATTTCCACCGAGGCTTCCCGAGGACTCTAGGAAACGTCTTGGGGCTCAAGTTCAGACTGCTGGGGTGTCCCAAGGACCGAAGACAAATCTCAGAAACCTCCTCCTCTTCATTGTCTCTACATCCCTCAGTCCCTCCTGCCCTTGGCACCAAGAAGGGGTGAATCTATAGGTTCAGAGAGAGGATACTCCAGACGCACCTGTGACCACCTGGCACGCATGAGGTCCTCCGTTGAGGGAGGCTGCTGTGTATTGGACAGTCAAAGTTTATGTCTATTCCTTGGGAGCGTGCAAGGCTGGAAGGTCCCAGGTCTGTAGACTTTCCTGGGTGGAAGATCCAGAGTCCTCGGTGATGACTGCCAAGGCCCTGAAAGAATGTGTGAAGAAGTTCCTATACTATAGGCCTGAGACCACACTGCTGCCTGCAGACATCCCCACGGGGACCTCTCCCTGCAGCCATACCCAGGATGACAAAACGCATCACTCGAGCCAATCTCTGTGGCTAGAGAATGTGCCTTCCCCCTCTACTCTTGGATACACCCTTAGACTTGGAGATTGCCACCAGGATCCTCCCACCCCTGAGGGAGCCTTGTTCCTTTGGACCGAGCAGGAGGAAGCAGGGAGTCCTTCCCTCAGGGCAGAATCCTGACAATCCTTCACAGCAGAGGATGTGCCACCTCTGGAAGACAAGAAGGGGTGGATGCTTGTGGCTCTTTCTTGGGTAGTGACCACTCTTGGTTGTTTGCAAATCACCCTCATGGAGGAGGGTTTGACAGAGGTGGCTCATCTGGTGGCAACCTACCCTGAAGGCATTAAGAGCTGGCTGGGCCCCATCAAACCCATCATCACTCTGTGCCACCCCGACATCATTCGTCCTGTTGTTAATGCCTCAAGTACTCATGCAGAACTTGTGGTAGTGGGCACCATGGCAGCATCCAAAGGCTAGTGTCCCTCTGCCCCTCAGCTTCTGGGTGGCTCCTGCAGGACCCCAGCTCCCTCCCTTCTTCTCTCAGCCTTCTTTTCTTTCTTTTATGCATTCACCAGACCCCATCTCACCATCTGCCAACACTCCCTCGTGTTCTGAATTCAGTGCCCCATCCTGGAGGAACCTCCAATCATAGGGAGAATGATCTGGACAGAGACACCCCCAACCTCATGTGGTCAGGAGTGGGGCTAGAGAGAGAGATGGGCAGCAGCAGCCCAGAGGAGAAGGAAGGCCTCCTGGAGGAGGTGTTGCTGGAACTGGGTGTGGAATGATGTGTAGAAGGTTTTTAAGCTGGGGGAGGGTGATGCAGTGGGCAGTGGTAGCTTCTGAGCCTTCTGTCAGGCCTGGCCTTGGCCTACCACCCACCCAGGTGCAGCACTATTAAGAGGGCTCTGGGCTGCTACTTCCCATGATGTCCACCTCTGGTGGGTGGGTCCCTTCTACTCCATCCTGTGACTTGTCCACTCTAATTCCATTCTTCACCTGCTCCAGACCCCAGATGTCTCCTACAAGACCCTGCCTGGTCTCTGCTCCCTTCCTTTGCCCTCTTCCTTTTGCATCCTGGACAAGGGAATGGACAGTGTCCAACAGAGATCGGGAATGGACAGTGTCCAACAGAGATCGTGACTATGTCACTATCCTGTTCAGCAACTCTGGGCATGTACCTGACTCTTCAATTGCCAAGGTCCCTTTCAGTTGTGAGTGATGGAAACTCAACCATGTGTGGCTAAGCAAAGAAAGGGAGTCTATTGACTGAAAATTCCAGGGAGGATGGCCTTCAGGCACTGCAGAATCCAGGCCTCAAACAATGCAACCACGAATCTGTCTTCATTTCTTGGTTCTACTTTCCTTGTCAACTTTACCTTCAAGGAAGCTGTTTCCTCACATTGTAAATGATGAACCAAAAAGCTCCATTCCAATGGGAAAGCAAGTCTCCCCCCACCCCCCAGAGTGCCCACTAATTCCCACTAACTCCCAAGACAATTACTGGAACTATGCTTGTCCAATCTTGGTGGGTACGGGGCTCTCAGAGCTTATGTTTTGGGGACACAAGCAACTCAATGTCTAAGAACTCAGGCTGTGGATTCAGAAAGATCTGGGTTCAGGTCTTAGGCAGTCATTTCCTCTCTGGGGGACCCTGGGCAAATGACATCATTGTTCAGAGGCTTAGTTTCTTTATCTGGAAAATGGAGGTAAGAAGAGCACCAAGGTGAAGGTGGTGTTGGATACCCAACGGGAAGGAGCTGTAGTACCCCTGTGACTGAAGGACCCTGAATGGCTATGCGTCAGGCTATGAGGCCAGGAGGGGGCTAGCCACAGAGAGGACAAACAGCTGGGCAGGAGTCTAAGGGCTTGGGTGGATCTCTGCCTCCAGCCCTTCTTTCTGACACCTACAAGGGCATGAACTCGGTCCTCTTCATTCCTCCCCAGATTCGGAGCTCGGAGGAGGGTCTCCAGTACACACAGGGCCTGGCCAGCACTTTCGGGGATGTGTGCTGCTGGTGGGTGGGGCCCTTGCACGCCGTTGTCCGCATCTTCCACCCCACCTTCATCAAGCCTGTCCTCTTGGCCCCAGGTAGAAGCCTGCTGCCCACAGCTTGCTGCCGCCCAGCCCTGTGCTTCCTTTCAGCTGGCAAGTGAGCGGGTGGGAGGACAGGAGAGCTATGAGGAGGGGGCACTGCCCCTGATGCACCTGGACCCAACTGTCTGACCCTGGTCGTGTCTGGTCACATCTAGGGCATGTCTGTGTGATGCCGGCTGTGTGGCCACCTCAGGTGTATGCACCTGGGACCATTTGGGGATTGTCTCGATCACATCTGGGCTCAGTTGTAGCCCAGGACATCAGGGCCTGATGAGGTCTGTCTAAGATGCCAGTTGAGATTGTCCAGGTGTCCTGTTGGTCATGTGGGGGTCATGTTTGGACTTGTCCTATGTCAGGCCTGGGCTGTTTCTGGGACTCAGGGTTCTCTGTGAAGTGTCTGGGAGGTTATTTTAACCTTGTGTGAGGCAGATCCAGGGTATGCCCATTCACACCTGGGCCATTCCTAGGCCACATCTGGGGCTAATGAGTCTCTATTTAAATCCTGCCTGGGGCTTGTGGTGGTGGGGCATTCTGAGATCATGTCAGATGGCTCTGGTCCATATCAGAGCAAATTATGTCATGTTATAGACATGTTAGGTTGTGTCTGGTATGTTATGGGGCATAGCAGAGCATGTAAGCACATGTTTGGGCCATGTCAACCATCTCAGCTCCATATCAGAGCATGTTATGTCATGTTATGGACATGTCAGGGTGTCCCATATATGTTGTCACCATGTTGGGACATGTTGGTCTCTTGTTAGCTGTTTCAGATCTGTATCAGGAGATGTCAGAGGAGGTTGGGCCATGCTAGGGTGCCCTCAGTAAATGTAATGCACTTTGTAGGGTATTGGGCTGTGTTCACTGTTTCAGAAATGTTGGATGTGGAGGAGACAAGTCCAGGCATGTTGAGATGTGTTGTGCCATGTTAGAGCATGTCTGTCATGTTGGGGTGTCTTTGTGAGCTCTACCTTTGCTCTACTGTTGACTCTTCAGCCTGTTCTGGTCTCCCCTTGCCTCCTCCCTGCTTCCTCTGCCTTTTGCCCCATTTCTGCTGTTCTAGGCTTGGAGGGTGGTGCAGACCCCTGGCTGGGAGCTCACACCCTCACCCAGAGTCTCTCCCTTACCCCTCTCCATGGCCCCTGATGTCACTAATTGATAACAGCTGCCATTGCACCCAAGGATGTGGTCTTCTATGGTTTCCTGAAGCCCTGGCTGGGTGAGTAACTATGCTGAAGTGGACTGGGGACAACCTTGGGTTCCAGAGGAAGGTGTTGCCCTTGCCCACTACCCATGGATGCCCCTACTAGGAGATGGGCTTCTGCTGAGTGGTGGTGACAAGTGGAGCCGCCACCGCCGCATGCTGACACCTGCTTTCCACTTCAACATCCTGAAGCCCTACATGAAGATCTTCAATGAGAGCACAAACATCATGCATGTGAGTCCTGTGAACCTAGTGTCCCTCATGGAGCCTTGGGGTGAGGGGCCACAAACAGATCTTTTTGGAGTCCTGTTTCTGCTTTGTGGGTTTGGGGCCATTGCTCTTCCTCTCTAAGCCTCAGTTTCCTCATCTGTAAATTAGGAATAATGATCTCCACTTTGAAGGATGTTCAAGATAACACAATGGAATCATGTCCCTGGCACATAGTAGGTGCACAGAATGTGTTAGTGTCTGTTCCCGTCTCTGAATCCTGATACAGTGTTGATGATAGTGGTAAAAATTGTATAGTAGCTATTGCTGAGTAACGAATCACTTTGAAACTCACTAGCTTAAAATATAATTAGAATTTGCTATTGCTCCTGAGTCCACTGGCCAGCTAGGTCATTCTTCTAATCTTGTCTGGGTTCCCTCATGCATCTGTGGTCAGGTGTGGATAAGGTAGGCAGCTCAACTGACTTAGCCTGAGCTCTTTCACCTGTTTGGGGCTTGGCTGGCTACAGGCTTATCTAGGATGACCTTGGCTGGGACTACTGGTCTCTTCCATGTGGTTTCTCACCCTCCAGCTGGCAGCCCAAGCTTGTTCACATAGTAAAGGCATGGTTCCAAGAGAGTGAGATTAAGCTTCAATGCCTCTTGAGGTCTAGGTTTAGAATTATAAAACCATTGTTTTCACCAGATTCATTGACTACTGCAAATCCTGTGACTATCCCAGAATCAGAGGGTGGGGGAAAAGGTGCCACTTCCTAACTGAAGTTGCTGCAAAGTCATATTGCAAAGGGTGTGGATATAAGAAGAGGTGAAAAAATAGGAAATAAGTGTCTGGGATTGGCAAACTGATAAATTAGCTTGTTATTATTTCATGAATTCTGCTTGAAGACATGAGTCTCCTGGGTCAGAGACAAAGGATTTTTTTATTCACAGCACAGCAGGCAGCATGTGCTTCATGTTGGTTTGCATCTTTTCCCCAAGCCACCCAGATCCCAAGAGAGCAACACAGGTGCGCCTATATGGATGCAGTATGTTGTAATACTGGGGAGGAGCACTGAGTTTAGGGAATTGGCAACTTTCATAGTAAGCAGAACCAAGCCTGAGTTTTGTCCAAGGGAAGACATTTTCTCATCCCTCAGGTTGCTCATTGCAAACACTCATATCTGAAAAATGGCCCAAGTAAAGAGCATAAGGGCCTTAGATTCTTGTTATACCCAGGAAGAACTGGCAGGGATGCTAAGGGCCCATGGAGGACTGCCTCTCCCAACGTAGGGGATGTTTTTGCAGTCAATCTAGAATAAGGACAATGATAATGAAGATGATGCAAAGATAGCATTTACTGAGCACTCAGAATATGCCAAAAGTGTGTGCCATTTCATGACATATACCAAATAATTAAATTCTCAGAATGCTATGAGGCAGAGATGGCTATTTTTGCCTCATTACAGATGATGACACTATGGCTCAGAGAGGTTAGGCAACTTGCCCATTTTCACTCAGCTAGTAAGTGGACTAGTAAGTGGTGGAGCTGGGATTTCAACCTGCCTTATATGACACTGAGGAACACTGTCAGTGAACATGTAACAGTTGGGACCTAAGTGGGGACAATGAGTTGATCAAGGGCACATAGAGCATAAGAGGCAGAGCTAGGTCTTGAACCCAGGTCTCCTGACTCCCAGCAGTGAGGTCTTCAGATCTTAACAGTGGCAACTTCCACTCCCACACAAGCCTGGTCCACTCTGGGGATGGGTGCCTTGGGTGGAGGACTTGGAAGTTGGTTTCTGGGTGGAGTTCAGCTTGGTGATTGGGATGGAGAGGGGGTCCCAGAGGAGGAAAATCTCAGCCCCAGCTCTGCCCCCTTTTCTGCCAGGCCAAGTGGAAGTGCCTGGCCTCTGATGGCAGCACCCGTCTGGACATGTTTGAGCACATCAGCCTTATGACCCTGGACAGTCTGCAGAAATGCGTCTTCAGCTTTGACAGCCACTGCCAGGAGTGAGCCCTAAGCCTGGATCTGGGAACTCGGACCGTTGACCCAAGGGAGTAGGTGGAAAGGGAGGACTGACCAAGGCAATCAGAAGTGCCTTCCTGGAGGAGCTGGATAAGAGCTGGGCATTGAAGGACAGGGAATGGGAGAGAAAGAAAGGTCCTTTCAGGTAGGTGGAAATGTTTGAGTAAAAAGGCAAGAAGGCTAGGAAGAGCAGAGCATGTGCAACAGTGAGGGGCCACCTTGGAAATGAAGATGGAGAGGTAGGCAGAGGCTAGGTCTTAAGGCTATTAAAGAGCTTGACAAAGAGGTATGGACTTTATCTTGGGGTCTCCATGGAGCCATGGAAGGCGTTTGAGCAGACGAGGGGCATGGTCAGAGCTGAGGTCTAGAAATTTGTGTCTGTGGAAGACTGATTGTCATGTAGACCCTGGATGGTGTTGACATTGGATAGTCAGGAGACCAGGCAGGAGGCTGGGCCCAGGACCAGTAGGGAGAGGATGAAGTATGAGCTACATGGACAGTTTATGGAAGAAGGGGCCGGTGAGAGTGATGAACATGATGCCCAAGCTCTCCCTGGCGACTGCGGCCTGGAGGCCGCTCCCAGGGGTAGGAATGCAGGGAGAGAAGAAAATGTGGATAGTCCTATCTCCTGGTTCATCCCCACCATGCATCTTTGAGGTCATCTTCTCCTGGATGTTCAGTTCCATGGTGGGAGTAGAGCCTGACTTCCGGATGGGAGGTGCACCCTGGGTTTTAGGTATGTGAATTTATTGCTTTCCCTCTTGCCCTTGTCCTTCAGGAAGCCCAGTAAATATATTGCTGCCATCTTGGAGCTCAGTGCCCTTGTGGTGAAAAGGCACCAGCAGATCTTCCTGCATTTCGACTTCCTGTATCACCTCACTCCTGATGGGCGGCGCTTCCGCAGGGCTTGCCGCCTGGTGCATGACTTCACAGATGCTGCCATCCAGCAGCGGCGCTGCACCCTCTCAGAACAGGGTGTCGACGACTTCCTCAAGGCTAAGACCAAGGCCAAGACTTTGGACTTCATCGATGTGCTCCTGCTGAGCAAGGTGAGTACCTGTATGTTCTGGTTTGAGAAGTGAGCAAGACCTCAATTTCAAATGTCAGATAGAGGAGCTTGAATGTGATCCAGAGGGTACTATGGAGCCATAGGAAGTTTTTGAAGAAGGGAGGGCCATGTATGAGATGTTTTAGAGGACTCTTAAAATGCAACCTGCAGGACTGGTAAATCTGGAACTGTGAAGGGCCTGAGATTTTACTCTACTTAACAAACTAATAATTCACACTGCCACAGAGTGTGTCTGTGTTTATGTAACCTATAGCATATAATATACATGGTGGCACAGTGGTTAAGACCTTATCTGCTTACCAAAGTATGGCATTTCGAATCCACCAGTAGCTCCTTGGAAACCCTACAGAGCAGTTCTACTCTATCCTATAGGGTCGTTATGACTCAGAATGGACTAGACGATGTTGCGTATTTTATTAGTGTCGCATCAGCTCCTACTCGTATGTATAACTCATATATATAACCCTTATTTATAACAGAATGAAATGTTGCCCTGTCCTGTGCTATCTTCACAATTTTTGGTGGACTTGAGTCCATTGTTGTGGCCACTGTGTGTTTTGAGTGACTTCCAACTAGGGGGCTTATCTTTCAGCACTACATTGGAAAATTTTCTGTTGTGATCCATAGGGCTTTCACGGGCTGATTTTCAGAAGTAAATTGCCAGGCTTTTCTTCCTAGTCTGTCTTAGTCTGGAATATCGACTGAAACCTGCTCAACATGGTGACCCTGCTAGTATTTAAAATACTAGTAACATAGCTTCCTGCATCATAATAATATGCGAGTCACCACAATACAACAGACTGACAGATGGGTAGTGGATATACAGATATGTCCATATATATATTTTATATTAGACTTCTGGATCAAAATAGACCATTTATTTCACAGCAATAACAGCAGCCGGAGCAACATCTTAATGCTGGTTCCCCCTTTCCAAATTATACCAAGGGCCACAAGGTGTCGCCCCAATTTTTTACCTGTACATGCCACAGAGTTTGCACCATAGGAAATGACCCCCACAATATCAGTCTTTTAGTTTATGTAGAACAGGTGGCACATCTGCCTTCCTCTCTTCAAAGAGATACAGAGGGGAAAGAGGTAGTGACTTTTGTTCTGGAGTATAAACAAATCCTCTCCAGAGAGAGGGCAAAGTTTCCACATTTACAACCAATGACATGTAAGCAAATGCCTCTGGGGGAGATAAGACTGGACTCTATGGACTTACTACTCTAGGTTGTGAGCAAATGGCTCTGGAGCAATACTCAGTCTCTAACATCCAGGGAAAGTTGTCATTCAATGGAACTCAGGTTGCCGGTGGTTTTTTTTTTTTTTCTCAGAAAGCCCTCATCTGCAGAAACATGGAAATGTTAATGGAGCAATTAATCCTCCCACTAGGAATAAATCAGAAGGCAAGGAGAACAGGGAGAAGGCCTGAGGGGAGGGGGCTTTTGAGATGGTGAAGAAATTGCGGTCTAAGACTGTAGGGTGGGCTTGGGTTTCTGGATAGAAGATGAATCTTTGCAGATGGTCTCAGTCATAGTGTTGGCTCTGAATCATGGTTACACCGTGCCCAAAAGAATGAAAAGTTGCCCGGTCCTGCATCATCTTCACAATTGGTGTGTTTGAGTCCATTGTTGTGGCTACTGTATATTCTGAGTGCCTTCTAACCTAGGGGGCTCATCTTCCAGCACTGTACTGGACAATGTTCTTGTCATTGGACTGAATTGTGTCCCCCCAAAATATCTGTCAGCTTGGCTAGGCCGTGATTCCCAGTACTGTGTGATCGTCCACCATTTTGTGACCTAATTTGATTTTCCTATGTGTTGTAAATCCCATCTCTATGGTTTGCTATGAGTCGGAATCGACTCAGTGGCAGTGGCTTTTGGGTTTTTATGGTGTTAATGATATCAGATTAGTGGCAGTTATGTTAATGAGGCAAGACTCAATCTACAAGATTGGATTATGTCTTGAGCAAATCTCTTTTGAGATGTAAAAGAGAGAAGCGAGCAGAGAGACATGGGGACCTCATATCACCAAGAAAGTATAACCAGGAGTGTGTGTCCTTTTGACCAGAGATCCCCATGCTGAGAAGTTTCTAGTCCAGAGGAAGATCAATGACAAGGACTTTCCTCCAGAGCCGACAGAGAAAGCCTTCCCCTGGGGCTGTCATCCTGAATTCAGACGTCTAGCCTTCTAGACTGTGAAGGAATAAATTTGTCTTTGTTAAAGCCATCCACTTGTGGTGTTTCTGTTATAGCAGCAGTAGATAACTAACACAGTTCTGTTGTGATCCAAAGGGTTTTCACTGGCTGATTTTCGGAGGTAGATTGTCAGGCCTTTCTTCTTAGTGTGTCAGTCTAGATGCTCCGATGAAAACTTGATCACTGTGTGAGACTCTGCAGGTTAGGTTCAGGAAACCTTAGAGCTGGTGTGATTCAGGAATAATGGTGGTCTTGCCTCTCTCCAGGATGAAGATGGGAAGGAGTTGTCAGATGAGGAAATTCGAGCAGAAGCCAACACCTTCATGTTTGGGGGTGAGGGTCCCAGCCCGGGATTGCATTAGGGGCAGGGGTGTCTCCTGCCCAGGGACTTGGCAAGTGGACCCTAGAATGCCCCCTCCTCATCCTGCTGCACCCTCCCCCACCCTTCTTGAGGACCTCAATGCAAGGGAGCTCTCTGCCCTCTGGTGCTGAAGCAGCCCAGTGACGCAAGCCTGCCTGGCTGCCCTCAGGCCATGACTCCACGGCCAGCGGCATCTCCTGGGTTCTGTACAACCTCGCCAAGCACCCAGAATACCAGGAGCGTTGCCGGCAGGAGGTGCAAGAGCTCCTGAAGGACCGCAGGCCAGAGGAGATTGAATGGTGAGTGCAGGCTCTCACGACCTGTTCCCTGAGCATCTTTCCTTGGCTCTGGTGGGGACGGTGAAAGATCTTTCTACTGATTCTGCCCTAATTGCTTAGTGAGAATAGGAGTAGAGGCCAGATGCAGGCCTGGTACCCAACCTGGTCAAGAGGGGAAAGGTTGTGGCCTTTGGGTCAGAAAGATCTGGTCTGTTGAGAGAATAGTGACAATGTATGAGGGTGGATGTCACTCAGCACGTGTTCCGTAAATGAACTTCCCCTCCACCCCTTGTTTTTCTCCTTAAAATCACATTTTTTCAAAGGTCTTTACTCCCCTGGATGTTTTCCCTTCTGTCTCCCAATTTCTACTTTACTGTCCAGTCCAGAGATTCACATGGGACATCTGGGGGTAAAAGTTTTCCGTTTCTTGTCCAGGAACACTTGCATCATTCTCCATCCAGTCCTCACCCAGCAGACACTCCTTCACTGTGCCCAACTCAATCTCCATGCCCAACGCTGTGCCCAGTTCCATTCAGTCCTGCAATCCCAGGAAGGAGCCATTTCAAGGTCCCGTGTTCCAGGAGCTCCCAGCCTGGTGTGGGAACAGTCCCAGCTCACATAGATACGACTCTGGTTGAGAGAGAGAGAAGCCAGGCTCAGGGTGGGATGGAGAGGATGCCTCAACTGAGACTTTGAATGATTGTTAGTAACCATTTAGGTGCAACTGGGAAGAGTGAGGCCAAGTAAACAACCTAGGCAAAGTCCAAGAAAAGATAGAGAGAGAGAGGGAGGGAGACAGACAGAGTAGAGACAGAGAGGGGAACTACCAAACGAAGGAAAAAAAAAACCAAACCACTTGCTGTCAAGTTGATTCAGATTCATGGTGACCTCATGTGTGTCAGAGTAGAACTGCTCAGAGGGTTTTCAATGGCTGTAATCTTTTTTTTTATTGTGCTTTAAGTGAAAGTTTACAGCTCACGTTAATTTCTCATACAAAAATTTATACACATATTGTTTTGTGACATTGGTTGCAATCCTTACAATGTGACAGCACACTGCACCTTTCCACCCTGGGTTCCCTGTGTCCATTCTACCAGTTCGTGTCCCTTCCTGCCTTCTCATCCTGCTTTTGGACAGGAGCTGCCCATTTGGTCTCGTATATCTGACTGAACTAAGAAGCACATTCCTCATGTGTTTTATTTTATTTTTTGTTTTATACTCCTGTCTAATCTTTGTTTGAAGAGTGAGTTTTGGGGATGGTTTCAGTTCTGGGTTAACAGAGCATCTGGGGGCCGTAGTTTTGGGTGTTCCTCTAGTCTCTGTCAGACCACTAAGTCTGGTCTTTAACTTGAATTTGAGTTATTCTACACTTTTCTCCTGCTCTGTCTGGGACTCTGTTGTGTTCCCTGTCAGGGCGGTCATTGGTGGTAGCTGGGCACCATCTAGTTCTGGTCTCAGATTGGTAGAGTCTCTGGTTCATTTGGTCCTTTAGTCCTTTGGGCTAGTATTTTCCTTATGTCTTTGGTTTTCTTCATTCTCCTTCGCTCCGAGTGCAATGGGACCAATAGATGTATCTTAGACATCCCACTCTGGTGAGTAGTGAGCGACTGGCTGTAATCTTTTGGAAGTACTTTTTTCAGATTTCCTGATAAGACCTCATTGTATATTAAAAAATTAATCCTTTTTCTGTTTTGTGTTGCAAAAGATTGCCTTTTGATTTTTTGAACTTTTTGTTAATTTTTATGAAGTCAAATTTATCCATCTTTTCTTTTACAGCTGAACTACCCATCCATTCTCCAGGGTATTATGGGTCAATTTCTTTTATTAGATGTTAAGTTTTTACCGATTCATGTGTCTGTCTCCTAGCTTTCTAGTCTGTCCCCTGATTGATTATCCTTTTCTTGCAACAGTATCTTACTACAGCTTTGTAATAGATCTTAAATCTGGTAGAATGAGTTCCTTCTCTTTGATCTTTAATTTTTAAATAGTCCTAGGTCTTCATGATTTTTCATTCTTCCAGAAAAATTTTAGAGTAAGCTTGTGAAGTTCCTAAGAAAATCAGCTGGATTTTTATTTGTACTGAATGTATGATAGATTTGTGGAAAATGGAACACTTTGTGATATTAACACATACTATACCAGAGTATAGAATGGATATCCAGGTGTTACCATCTTTTAATAGAGTAGAAAATGTCTGCTTAGAGATCTTGTGCATGCTTTATTAAATGAACTCTTTGATCCTTCTGTTGCTATGGGGAATAATATCTTCCATCAGTATTTCATTTGGATTGAGTGAGATTTATAAATGTATTTGGAATACAGAACTTTCACATTTCTTGTTAAATTTAATCCAGGTATTTTGTTTTATTATTAGCATATTTTATTTTATATACATTCCAGTTATCTATCTAGAAAAATTTGTGATTTATGTATATAAATTTTGTGCCCAGTGAACTTAGTAAATGCTTAGGATGTTGTCTTATATCTGATGGGGATCATTTAATAAAAAGCTCTTGGGACTACTGAGAAGCTGCCTGAAAAGAAGTTGATTCAATCTGTTTCTCATGTCTTGTAACAAGATAGCATCCAGATGAATCAAAGATTTAAAATTTAAAGAAAAATATCTTAAAAGCTCTAGAAAAAAACATGGAAAGTTATTTTATAGTGAAGATCCTGTTTTGAAACAAGTTTGAGGGTGTATGCAAGAGGAGATGGAAACTGTCAAATGAAAAAGATACAGAGTAGTGTGTATAGTATGTAGTATGTTACTGCACTGTCTTCTCACTTATTGACATGGCTAGGTTCCAAAGACCCCGTCGTTATGCAAAATTGGCATTATGTGAAAATGGAGGATGACCACATCAGATCACAAAAATGCAGGATGACTACATCATTACATAGCTACCAAATTATGTCATTATAACTGCCAAATTACATCATTACATGACTCTCAACCCTCTGAGAATCATGGCCCGGCCAAGGTGATATGTAACCTTAACCATCAAAGCCAGTGTTACTCTCGCCTCGCACCTCAGAATTTATTACTGCCAGACATACATTGTTAATGTGCAAAAAATTTGAAAAGTAGATTTTTTACTATTGTTGTAAACGCAAAATGCTGGATAAGAAGATAGACAATAAGTGAGGAGAAGGTGTATATAGTATTTGGAGATGCAAAAAAGTATCTCTGGAAGGGCACATGAATAAATAATAACCTGGACAACCTGTGGGGAGGGAATGTGTGTGGTGCTGGGCCACAAGGGTGTTCTTTCATAGTTTTTGAAGTTTGAACCTATTGACTGTATCAGCTATTTAAAAATGTAAATAGTTACACAAAAAGAAGAGGATTAAAAATTTCAGCCCTTTTACTGAATCCTTGGAGTCCCTAGGTGGTGAAAATAATTAACACACTCAGCTGATGACTGAAATGCTGGCGGTTCAGGTTCACCAGGTGTGCCTTGGAAGAAAGGCATGGTGATCTACTTCTGAAAAGTTAGCCATTGAAAGCCCTGGGGAGCACAGTTCTACGCTGACACACATGGGGTCTCCAGGAGTCAGAATGAACTCAATGGCAACTGGAACTGGTTACAGAATGCTCGCTGTTCATAAACGTTTCCCAGTTGATTCTCTTGTGCTTTCCAAGTATAAAACCACTATTTGCCAGTACAGATACATTCCCTCACATTTCTAATAACTATACATTTTTCTCTTATCTTCATCACATCAGCTAGTGTCTCCGGTACAATATGAAATAACAGTAGAATTTTGGATATGTTTACTTTGTTTTTGACTCATTTACCTTTTGATTTGTTTTAACCATAAAGAATATTTTGTTGTTCTGCAAATCTGTCAACCTTTTCAGGGATGGCTTTTGCGTGTTGTGGTTTGCTCAGACAGGCTGCTAAAAACACCCAGCTAAATTTTCTCTGCTACTTATGTGATATTGCTTTTCTAATGCTTAATTTTTTAAAAATTTTACTGTGGTGAAAATATACGTAACAGAACGTACACCATTTCAACAATTTCTACATGCACAATTCAGTAACATTGCTTACATTCTTCAAGCTGTGCGACCGTTCTTGCTATTCTTTTCCAAATCATTTCACCACCATTAATACAATCTCAAGGCCACTTAAGCAAAAGCTCCTCCCTTCCCCCTCCCTCCAACCCCTGGTAACCACTAATAATCCTTGGTTTCCATAAGTTTGCTTCTTTCATATAAGCGAGACCATACAGTATTTGTCCTTTTGTGACTGACTTATTTTGCTCATCATGATGTTTTCAAGGTTCATCCAGGCAGTGGCATTCATCAGGACTTCATTTCTCTTTATGGCTGAGTAGTATTCCATTGTGTGTATAGACCACATTTTGTTAATCTAGTCATCTAATGCTTATCTTTGATCAATCTGGAGTTTATTTTGTTATAGGGAGTGAGGGTCAGAGAGAGGTGGTAAAAAAGTGTCACCAGGTGGGAGGGACCTGGAGAGTCTTTGCTGTCAGGTTAATTGTTGGGGGGCGGTTCCTTAGGGATGACCTGGTCCAGCTGCCCTTCTTGACCATGTGCATCAAGGAAAGTCTGCGGCTGCATCCTTCAGTCATCAGCATCTCGCGCTGCTGTACCCAGGACATAGTATTTCCAGATGGCCGGGTCATCCCCAAAGGTGCCGACAATGGCAAGGGGGAGGTCCTGGGCAGGAAGGGGAGCCCACCAGGCAGTGGAGATCTTGATATGACTGCCCCCTCCTCCCACAGGTGTCATCTGCCTGATCAGTATCTTCGGGACCCATCACAACCCCTCTGTGTGGCCGAACCCTGAGGTGCCACCCTCCCCCACCATCCTTATTCACTGCAGGAACATGAGGGGAGGGGGTCCTGAGTGGGGAATCAGACACCATATCTGGCACTATATGCACGTCTGCCTTTCCAAGGTGGTCTGTCTTGGGATACCTCACCCAGCAGCCCTCTCTCCCCACCCCCAGGTCTATGACCCTTTCCGCTTCAACTTAGAAAACACTCAGAAGAGGTCGCCTCTGGCTTTTATTCCCTTTTCTGCGGGTCCCAGGTGAGGATGGGGTGAGACCTGGGGGGGGGGGAGGCGTCAGGGACTTCACCTAGGCCTGATTGGGGGTGGAGGGCTCAGGTGGTCCGAGTTCCAGCCTCCTTTCCTCCCCTTCCCCCAAGGTTTGGACAAGGATCTGGGGGAAAGGAGGTGGGATCCAAGGAAGGGTTCCCAGGCGATCAGAACCCCTCCCCCATCTGCTCTTCTGAATCTGCAGTTGAAGCCTGGGTCAAGTTCAGGGGACAGGGAAGCGCTCTTGGGGGTTCCGGTTTGGTCAGCCCCTCTCTTTATCCCTCAGGCTGATCAGGGCGGGGATGGGGGTCTTGGGCCGGTCCCAGGCACGATAAGGCCCAGATGGGGGTCCTGGGTTAAGTCAGACCCCACCTGGTTCGCAGGAACTGTATCGGGCAGACATTCGCCATGACCGAGATGAAGGTGGTCCTGGCGCTCACGCTGCTGCGTTTCCGCGTCCTGCCCGACGACACTGAGCCCCGGAGGAAGCCAGAGCTGATCCTGCGCGCCGAGGGCGGGCTGTGGCTGCGCTTAGAGCAGCTGGGCGCGAGACCGCAGTAACTCCTCTCCCCGACCCATCCACCTACCTTAGCGGACTCCCAGAAATAAAACTCTGCTGTCACTTCTGCCTGAGCCTCCCTGGGAGCCAGCAGGGGCGTTTGGGGACCACAGGGACCTGGGGGTGGGAGCGACTGGGAGAAGGCGCCCGCAGTTTTTCCTAGAGTTGATCATGGAATTAACCTGTGAGCAATGGGGAGCCACGGGAGTTGTTAGAGCAAGAGAGATACCAAGGTTGAGTATGTACTTAAAGGATAAGATTGAGGCCCTGAGACAGGGAGGGGAACCCATAGTGGCAGATGTCTTCCTCTGAGCTGCTGGTGTTCACCAAGAGGAAGGCCCTTGTTCACCCCAGCACAGGAGAGGAGGGGGTCCACGCAGCCCACACCCAGACAACCTGTCCAGGACTTTTACTTTCCTCCCTGCTATTGCCCAAAACCACCACTTTCCCCACGTCTGCCTATCCCAGTCAGTTCCGGGGTGACCCCCTTACTGTGCCTTCAGGGGCCCCCTTCCTTTCTCCTCTGCCCCCCTTGAGCCCAGGCAGCCTGGCCAACAGATATAGGCAGAGCCCCACTGTGTGCCTAGTGATCTCACGGGAGAGTCAGTGAGTCAGCAGGAGGCTTATTGGTCCCTCACCTCTAGGTTCCTCCTTTCCCATTATAGGCCCGCAGGATCAACCTTGACTCATCTTGGGGTAGCCAGGGCAGGGTGTCTTGATACTCAAAGCCAGACCATCAGAAACAAAAAATAACCGCAAGAGCATAGGTAGTGGAGCCAGACCGCTGGGATTCAAGTCTCAGCTCTGCTGTGAGAATTTGGACAAGTGAATTTCCCTCTCTGTTCCTCAGTTTCCTCATCTGAATTAATAGCAGTCTCTTCCTCAGGTGGTCCCAGGGACTGAATGTGAAGGACTCAGAGCTGTGCTTGGCACACAGTCAGTGATGAATAAACGTGGCCTTTTTACCCTCTCAGAAAACCTGATTATTGCAAATCAGCGCATGCTTCCTTTTGTGACTATTAACTGTGCTATGAGTTCAAAAGTGTGATTGGAACTCAAAGGGAAGAATTTGAATCTTGGTGCTCCTTGAATCAGCTCTTCCCCTTGGAGTGCATATAGGAGCATTTGTTTCTGAGATTGTGGGGCACCTACAGGGGCAAGGGGGTGGGGACTTCAGAGAAACCTCAGTGTCCCAGAATAAGATCCTGATACAATGTTGATCTCTTTTTATAGCCTAAGGGATTCTGCATTACTGAGTCCCTGCAAACACCTCCAACTTCCTCTTGGCTGATCTCCCATCCCTCACTGCACTCCAGCACTTTGGCCTCAATTCTGATCTCCTGTTTTTAGCTGATATTGAGTTGGCCCAACTCATGGTGACCCTATGCACCATGAAACAAAATGATGCCCATTCCTTCGCCATCCTAATGATCGATTGTGGATTGGATCATTGTGATCCACATGGTTTTCATCGACTGGTTTTTGCAAGTAGATCACCAGGCCTTTCTTCCTAGTTCATTTTAGTCTGGAAGCTCCACTGAAACCTGTTCAGCATCTTAGAAACACTCAAGACTGCACTGACAGATGGGTAGTGAGTGTCCATGAGGTGCCTTGGCCTGGCATCGAACACAGGTCTCCTGCATGGAAGGTGAAAATTCTACCACTGAACAGCCACTGTCCTTATATAAGAAAAGAAAACAAATAAATCCATTGTCATCGAGGTAATTCTGGCTCATGATGATCTCCTATTAGGAGAACATATACCCAGTCTTCGCTCTCCCCAGGGCCTTTGCATGTGCTATTCCCTGTGCTTCGGATGCTCTTCTCCCAGCTCTTTCATGCCTGAGTTTCATCACTTAGGTCTCAGCTGAAATGTCACCTCAGAGAACTTCTTCCTACACTATCTATGTACCACCCCCATCCCATCTACCCCATTACTCTATTTATTTTCCTTATAGGTCTTATCATCTGAAACCATCTTGTTTATTTGCTGGTTATGTGGAATATTTACTAAGTTGAACATACCCATCGTTACATCAAATCTACAAGTGCCTTTGATGCTTAGATGACCCACAGCCTAAAACTAGATAAAGGGCCCAGAGAATACTTTGACCTCAATTCAAAGATTCAATACAAGATAGAAATTGCACAAACCTCTAGGGTAGAGTCTGCCGTTTGGTATTACACAAAATCACCTATTAATAGCTGTCTGGAAAAAAAATGGAGCCATGGTTTTAAAAGTTTGGAATCCTGGAGTTAAACACCAAGACAAACAAGGAAACAGACAAAACCGATTGCCATCAAGTCGATGGTAACCCCACATGGTACAGAGTAGAACTGCTCCATAGGGTTTTCTTGGCTGTAATTTTTACAGAAGCTGTTCACCAGACCTTTCTTCCATGGCACCACTGGGTGGGTTCAAGCTGTTGACTTTTAATTTAGTAGTGGATGGAAACTGTTGGCGCCACCCAGGGATCTGAGTTAAGCACAAGTAGATTTCTTTCCTGCAGGACTTCTCAGAGTATTTAAAATTCTAATCTTTACTGGGAGCTTGGAAGAAGGGCCCCAAGCATGCACTATTTTGCAAATATGGTTGGTAAAGCAAGATGATTAATATTCAGTATGTGTCTAATATGCACCAGTCATGCAGAGATACAGATACTGAGCCCCAGGTCTTCTAGTCCTTAAGGGGAACTGAGATTTGAGCACCATCTGGGGGGAGGCTTGGTACAAAATTAGAAGTTGTGATTACAAATAGTGCCCTGAAGAAATTACAAATGTAATGTCCACCCACGAGAAGGACAGGAGGGTGCTATGGGACATCATCAGGAAATTAATTGAAGGTCGCCCTTCGGAACATCTGGAGTAAGTGGGCTTCTACCCCCAGAAGCTCACCCGGACAGGCTGCAGATCCTGTCTCTGGGGCAAGCCCAGGAATTGCCCTGCAAACATTGGACAGATGTTGCCCAGGTGTATGTGTGTGTGTGTCTGTGTGTCTCTGTCTCTCTGTGTGTATGTATGTGTGTGTCTCTGTGTATGTGTGTGTGTCTGTGATCTATAAGGGTGGAGGGCACTTCTTAATGGGTGATGGAGTCTGGGAGAGAAGTTCATCACAGCTTGTGATTATTCCAGACCTCCACCAAGAGTAGAGAGAAAATAGAACAAAGAACAGCAGACCAAAGGGAATTAATTTACTAATGCCCAGACTCCCCAAGGAAGGTTTTCCTAAATCCAGCAACAGGGAAAGGTGCCTCTGACTGCCTGCCAGCCCCCCACTGATGATCATTGATATGGTCATGGCCCACTAGATCCATCAACCCACAAAGTGACCTGATGGAAACAGAAACCTACACACACCAGACAGAAGCAACACCAATCAACATCGACATTCATAAATAAGCAAAACAAACAAAAACCCAAGCGCATTGATTCTGACTCATAGCAACCCCATGTATCGTAGAGTTGAACTGCCCCATAGAGTTTTCTTGGCAGTAATCTTTACAGAAGCAGATCACCAGGCCTTTCTTCAGCAGTGCCACTGGTTGAGTTTGGACAGGCAATCTTCAGGTTAGTAGTCGAGCCCAAGCCATTTGCACCATCTGGGGATCTCCATTCATCAATAAAACGTCCCACATTCACCCAACTTTTACCTAATGGCCAGAAGGAGCCAGATGCAGCAGAACTGACCCACATGTTATAGAGACAACGGAAGAAACAGAAGACAACACAAGAATTTTCTCACTTCTATTTTGCAGAGAGACTTGAGAAAACAGTGTATCCATAGAAGAAAATACCATTAAAACAAGGAATCGGTCATAAATTCCGAATGCAATCACAGAAATTTAGGATTAAATAAGATACCTAAATTAATCTATAAATTAATTGCGGTAAAAAGAAACCCTAACAGGATATTCATGGAACTTGACAAGAGGATTCTAAAGTGCATCTAGAAGAGAGAACATTTGTAAAATGACAACGAAACTTTAACAGTTTCCTTGATTGTCCTTGGAGTTGTCCTTGGAGACTCTAGTTTCGCAGGCAGAAGGTGGATTTCATTTTCAGTGATCACTCTGTATGTAGTGTTTGATTTCTTTTTAACCAGGTTTGTATATGACTAAGAGGTCCTTGCTTTAGACTACTGACTGAAAGGTTGGAGGTTCAAACACCCAGCAGTGCCTTGGAGGAAAGTCCTGGTGATCTGCTTCCATAAAGATTACAGCTAAGACAGCCTTGTGGAGTGCAGTTCTACTCTGTAACACAAGGAGTCACCATGAGTCGGAATCAGCAATGGGTTTTGTGGGGTTTTTTTATATATGACTAAACCAAAATAAAAGAATTTTCCATTACTGTTGTGTCAATTCCAACTCATAGTAACCTTATAGGACAGAGTAGAACTGCCCTATAGGGTTTCCAAGCTCATAAATATTTAGGGTAGTCGACTGCCACATTTTTCTCCTGGTGAGTTTGAACCATCAACCTTTTGGTTAGCAGCTGAGTGCTTAATCACTGCGCTAACGGGGCTCCTTAAAATCAACAATAAAATGTAGCAGTATGAAATTTTACAAAAAGTGGAAAAGAGAAAGGAAACCAAACAAAAACAGAAATTTCAAAAAATCCCAGAAAGCTAGTAAATCTAAATTCTTTCCTAATGAAATAAATCTTTACATGAAACCCATGTTGTTGTGTGCCATCAAGTCGATTCCGACTCATAGTGATCATATACTGACCAGGTAGGAGAGAGTGGAACTGCCCTAGAGGGTTTCCAAGGCTGTAATCATTAGGGAAGCAGATTGCTAGGTATTTTCTCCCACGGAGCCACTGGGTGGGTTTGAACTACCAACCTTTTGATGAGCAGCCAAGCACTTAACCAGTGTGCCACCAGACCTCCTTAAATGAAACCATAAAGGGTTGTAGTAGGACGTCTAACATTCACACCATGCTTGTAGGTGAGACAGAGGGCAGAAGGATCTCAATTAACCCAACAAAATTTTGCAAATAGAAGACTTCACCTCTACCTCAGTGATAAACTTCTTTACCCAACTGCCACTGTCATCTCCATTTGGAAGTCGAATAGGCATCTCAGACTTAGTATGTCCAAACTAAACTTGATTTTACCCCTAGACCTACTCCTCTGCTGGTTTCTAAAATGGTTCATTGACCCAATATCCAGACATAAGCATTTTTTATCAAGTAAATATATGCATA